GAATTAAGGATTATTTCGACCAAACCAGAGTTGGTGATTGTTGGAAACACTAACAAAGTTTCTGTCCACTTTGTTAAGGTCTAAGATGTTAGTGATCTCCATTAACTGTCATTGTTATGCAGATGTTTCCCATTTATATCTATCGATCAGGACAAATTAAGCTAATCAATTGAAGTACATCAGGTATATATATAACAGGAAGTCCATCATGGTCTGATCTGTTCCTAAAAGATTGGACTACAAATTACATTACTTTTTTGTGATTTTAAGTTAATATTTTCATTTTATTTCTGTTACTGAAAGGACCAGCGTGTAGATTTTAGTGGCATCTAGTGGTGACAGTTCAGATTGCAACAAACTGAACACCACTCGCGTCTCTATTTGACAACCTGGGAATGAGAGCGGGCTGTGAAGTGTTTAGGAGAAACTATGGTGGCTGCAAAACTTGAAAAAAACTTTAAAGTCCTTATTTAGAGTCAGTGTTTGGTTTGTCCGTTCTGGGCTACTGTGGAAACATGTCGGTTCAAAATGTTGGACGCCATGGAAGGTGACCAGCGACGTAACGAAAACAGAATGATTCTTATTTTAAGGTGATTATACACTAATGAACATTATATCCCATTTCTGACAATAGATGACTGTTTCACAATGGAGCTTTAAAAAAATGTTATTAATTAACATAATTCATTGTGTTTTATATCACTTTAAATAAGACAAATCTATGCAAATCTAACCTTTTATTATTAGTTAAAAATCAGTGTTAAATGGAAATGAAATATTTTTTATTGTTAGTGCATGAAGGAAGAAAGAAATGCAAAAAAAATGATTTTCCGTTTTTACAAGGTAAGACCATTAAAAAGGTTTTATACACACAGACGCTTACTTCACCCAAATGATCTCAGGGACGATTTGACATCAACAGGCGATTGTTTTGTTGTGCTGTGACCTTTCAGTCACAGCAGTATCCACACAAACACACAAACTAATTTCCTTAAACTTCCCTCCTTCTATCTGTTGGTCATAAATGGCAACACGCTGCCGTCTGAGTCACTGTCGTGGCAACAGAAACAACGGCGAAGCTTTTCCTCCTCAGACGGAGGGGAAGGCCCAGAGAGCGGGGACACCGGGGCTGAGAAAGCTCTGACGTATCACACGAACGCAACCTGGCTGTGGACCGTTTTAACTTGTGTGAGAAAGTGGAAAAATCAGGGACATAAACAGCTGAGAAGAGGGTAAAAAACTCCCTAAAATACCCCTCAAAGCTCCATGTTCTGCCCAAATCCATCTTAGTGTAACACACACCGACACGCCGCACATCCAACCTCCTGCCGGTGGCACATTAATCATATCCAGACCTTCTGGGAGTGCGAGTCTGGAGGTTGATGAAGTGTAACGTCAACGTTAGAAGCTGCGTGTGTTTAAAGGTGTTTTGGGGATGTCAGTTCAACGGAGGCCCACCGCTCTGCGTTACATAACTCCTCAGTGATGTCATGGTTAGTTTTCTGGGCACGAAAAACACAAAAAAGTCTCAGCGATGGTGCAAAAACACACACTCAGCTCCCATGACAACAGCTCCCCAAAATATCATCTCAACACAAAGTGAAAGTACTAAGAAATGAGTTTGTAGCACTAATAACGAAGGAGTAGTGAACTTATGTTGGTGCTCTGCTCTCTGTGGCGTCTGATATTTGCTCTCGCCAGGTGTTTTCCAACACCTGCAACTGTTATTTTATGCCTCATATGATTTAATGCCGACTTGCACGTTCAACATGACAGAATTAACGACTTACCGTAGGTGATCCATTAAAGTTCCCACCCGAAAGCCGTGTAACTGTCACTGACTTCATTTAATGGAGACGTGGTCGTAACCGTCAAACCTTCTTAGGTTGGACAATAGCAACACGAGGCACTGAATTTGGGGTCGGAAAAATGATAGACGGCGCCAGAGCGGAGTGTTTCTGGGGAGTGAACCTCAATGATAACTGCAGAAAGGACTTCTATAACTTTATCAGTGATTTGGGTGAAACTGGATGATATTTTATGGAGAGAATATTGTCTGGTTTTCCCTCTGACATCCTCCGGCTGCTCTGCCTCAACTCTGCTAACTGCTAATTACTTTTACATACATTTACCTCATTATTTGACACTTTAGCCTTGTTTAATATCAACATCCCATATTGTAAGATCAGATATATATCTGACACTGATAATAAGAGGCCTCCTTTAAGGACCGTTTCAGAGAAAGTTCCCCTTTTAATGAATTGTGACTCAGTACTGGAAATAGTGTGTCAATTAGGGGACTTTTACTTTTACATGGAATTTAAACAATCAGTGGAGCAGCTGCTGTAGTGTTTTGGATTAGAAATCAAGTCATGGAAAAACTCAAAACACATTTTCAAAAAGTGCTTTTAAAAGCAAGAAACAAGAGTCAAAGATATAATGATATGAAATTAAGCTGAAAATCGTAATATTACTGAAAATGTTTTAGGGGTCGAGACGATGTCAAGTTTGAGGCAAACGTAGAGCTCTTACCTCGGGTGGGTAGAGAGGCTGGAGTCGACTGCTCTTCCTCTGCCTCTTCGTCAGTACTTCCTCCATATTCGTCCTCCTCCTGACCCGCTGATCGGTCTGATTTCACTGAATCCTCCTTCTTCTGTCCATCAGAACTCCTACAGAGACCAGAGAGCTTATCAATAAACATCAGAAACTATAGAGACACAGAGTCACATGGTGTCTCACTCCCTCTGCCTGTGTTGTATCGCAGCCTCTCTGT